CAGCGGGGGCAGCAGCAGCAGCAGGGGATGGCGGCGGCGGCCATGCAGTATCCGGCAGCGGCGATGGTGATGATGCAGCAGCAGATGATGATGTATCCTCAACATTACGTGCCGTACAACCAAGCTCCTTATCCTCATCATCAGCCTCACCATCCTCAATTCCAATACGCGCCTTATCAGCAACAGCATCATCCCCTTAACCAGCAGCAGCAACAGCAACAGCAGAAGCATCTCCAGCGTGGATCTGGTGATGATGTGAAGACTCTCTGGGTTGGCGATCTTCTTCATTGGATGGACGAGACTTATCTCCATAGCTGCTTCTCTCACAGCGGCGAGGTGCGTATCTCTTCATCGGTTCTATGTTTGAATCGCATCTCGATTTCTTATACGACACTCGGATTCGGAAATATCATATGGGTTTGTTTGGATTTCAATGTAAGTTTCGTTTTTTCCTGGGTCTTCAATTTTGTTACGCCGAAATTCGGTAAAAAAATTACTGTTGTTGCATTTGTTCGCAGATCTCGGATGTGTCGTGATTTCATTGTTCCCCAGATGTTGTGAAGGGTCTTTGTCTTTGGTTGTTATATTATGCTCTGTAAACAGTTTTTGTGATGTAGTCATCAAATCTGAGGCTTGAACTTTTGGATTTTCTTCATTGGGTTAAGACTAGAATAAGGTTGTTTTTTCTTTTTTTTTTTGCATAGAAGCAAATAGGAATTGTTGACATTATGGGGCATTTGAGAACAGCGCTGACCTGAAAAAGACAACTCAAAATCTTAGGGCAAAAAAAGTACTTGTTGTACCTTGTCATGCTTAGTGCACTGTTTCTGTATTTGTAAAAAAAAAAAACATGTAACGGAAGTTTTTTCTTCGGATTAAAGTAATGCCTTCACGTAAAATGGGCTTCTACACTTTCAGCTTTCTCTAGCAAATGTACTGTGCTGTCATATTTGGTGTTCATGCAATTTTCTGTAGCTTTTGCCTTATATTCTCTCTCTGGATTCCTTTGTGGTTACTTGTTCTGTGATGTGCAGGTTTCCTCTGTTAAAGTTATACGTAATAAACAAACTTGTCAATCAGAAGGATATGGGTTTGTTGAGTTTTTTTCACGTGCAGCGGCTGAGGAAGTTCTTCAAAACTACAATGGTTCTCCAATGCCCAATGCCGATCAGCCCTTCCGTCTAAACTGGGCGTCTTTTAGTACGGGTGAAAAAAGGGCATCAGAAAATGGTTCTGATCTCTCTATATTTGTGGGTGATTTGGCTCCTGATGTCACTGACACTTTGTTGCATGAGACCTTTGCTAGTAGTTATCCATCTGTTAAAGGTGCAAAAGTTGTGATTGATTCCAACACTGGTCGGTCCAAAGGTTACGGTTTTGTGAGGTTTGGAGATGAGAAGGAGAGATCGAGGGCTATGGTAGAAATGAATGGTGTTTTCTGTTCAAGTAGGCAAATGCGTACAGGCATTGCGACCCCCAAACGGGCAGCTGCTCACCAGCAACAATATTCCTCACAAGGTATATGCTGATATTTCTTCTTCATTTGATGCCTTTTAGTAATTCGGGTACCTGTCCTTTTGTTTATTTGGTGTATTGTTTTTTTAGCTTTTTTCCTATCTTTTGAGTGATTGCAAGCTGCAATCGGGAATTTCTTTTCTGTTTCTTATCTCCTTTGAATTGATATTCTCTTGTCTTGATTATTAATTGGAACGGAAACTTGTTTCTTTTGTTTATTTATTGGTATTCTCTTGTAGTTACTATTTATTGGACTGGCGAGCCAATTATTGTTAATTGGATTTCAAGTTTCATGACTTGTGTAATGAAGCCATCAACATAGCTTTAATCAGTGATGTTTTTATTGTTTTCATCTGATTAGCTCTAATACTGGCTGGTGGTGGTGGACATGGAGCAAATGGTTCTGTGACTCAAGGCCCTCCATCTGATGGCGAGTCCATAAACTCAACTGTGAGTTGTCCAAGCCGTTCTTCAGCAAAGTTTATTCACAATCAATACGTCTCATTGTCTTTTCTTTCTCTTCAGATATTTGTCGGAGGCCTTGACGCTGATGTTACTGATGAAGACCTCAGGCAACCTTTTTCCCAGTTTGGGGATGTTGTCTCGGTGAAGATCCCAATAGGAAAAGGATGCGGGTTTGTTCAGTTTGCCGACAGGTGAAACCCCTCTTATCTACTTGTCATATTTCTAATCTAATAGCCCGAGACATGTCAATCAAACAGAAAAAAATTGGGTAGCTTATGAGTTACTTGTACTCGGTTTTTGACAGGAAGAGTGCCGAAGAAGCCATTCAAACGTTGAACGGGACAGTAATCGGCAAGAACACTGTCCGGCTTTCTTGGGGACGAAGCCCAGGAAACAAGCAGGTACGTCTTTCATTTGGAGGAGTATATTCTTATTAGAAAATACAAATCTGAAGCCTACAATAGTACAAAGTATCTCTAAACTATCAGTCTATTGGTGTTTTTACTCACATATTATCGTAATCTGTTCCAAAACTCTTTTCCCTTGAAAAAATGGATTGTAGGACTCTTACTGTGTAAGTGTACTTAGTTTCTGAAGTCTCCATTGGTTTACATAAATTAGTGGTCTTGTTTGAATACTTGTATTGTTTACACATGTCCTTAATTGACAGGGACTATGGCTGAGCCTATCGCTCACGCCAGTACGCTCTCGCCAGTCCTTTGTAGATGACGGGTCCTTGCCCTTTAGCCACACTTTGTGTGAATTATCGAATAGTTCAGTTGAACGATGTATAAAATCTTGTCCCTTAGCTGCTCCTACTCATCTCTTGGATAGTTTCAAACCCTTGTTTGCTTCAGTTTATCACATCTAAATGATTTTCTGAAACATTTATTTCATGGACTTATGTATTCTATCCTCTAACGCTGCAGTGGCGATCTGACTCTAGCCACCAGTGGAACGGGGGGTACACACGAGGAGGACAAGGTTATAACAACAACAGCAATGCGTATACTAACCAGGATTACGCTTCTGCAGCTGATGCGGTTCCCGGGGCATCTTAAAGTTGGGTATGACAGTTACGAAAAACCCGTGAGTTTACCTTTCGGTTTATCATGGGAAGTTGGGTTTCGAACTAGGCACTGAATCAAGTGGTTCAGTGTGGTGGCAACGGTTTAGGGTTTAGCTCCCCCCCCCCCCCAAAAAAAAAAAAAAAAAAAAAAAAAAAACTAAACTGAATCTGTAGTGGAAGACAATTTTGTAGCTGGATTTTTGAATATTTGGTTGTGTTATGTTGTTGGAGTTGTGTTAGGAAGAAGGAAGAAACCAGTCTAAAAGTTTTGAAAGGGTCTGTCTGAAAAGAGAGAGCTCATCTTTTATTACATTGGTTCAGGACAGAAGTTATTTATCATTGAATATTTGGTTTGGTTTGCTTGTCTGTTTATTTTTGTTCTACATGGAACTTATACGTAGAACCCATTTGGTTTATACAATTTAATGGGTTTGGTTGACCCAAACCAAATAAAAAATTCTATGGGTTGGATTAAATGATAAAACCCAATTAACCCAATTAGTTTATTGATATATGCATATGCTTGGTTTTCATACAAAGCTTGATTTCTATTAGAATTCATTTCGGTTCGGATTTGATTTAGATTGATTCACATTCTTTTTTATTCAAATCGATTTGTTATGGTTTGCATTCGATGTCGATCGTTTCGAATTTGTTTTGTTCCGATTTAAATCGATTCGTTACTGTTTGTATTCCATTTCGGTCAATTCGGATTCGATTTGTAACCGATTCTGATTGATTTGTTACGGTTCATTCTGATTCAGATTCTACATGAATCGATCCATTCCGATTCGAATCAATTCATCTAATTCAAATTCGTTTCAAATCAATTTATTTTGATTCACATTCGATTTATTTTTATTTGGATCAATTCATTTCTATATAAATCGATTCGTTTTTATTCGAATTTGTCATTTCGATTCAAATTCAAGTTTTTTAATTAAAAGCTTCATTTAATGTTATATCAAATTCGATTATGTATTACTTTGTTCAAATGAATCAGATTATCATTTTATTAATCTAATTAAAATTATTGTTTAATTAATATTTATATTCATAATAAATTAAATGGGTTTATTGAGTTTATCCATTTACTCCATAACGGTAATGGATTAAACCAATAAAATCTATTTAATTACATTGATTCAAATAGATACCCAAGTAAGATTATTATTGGGTTGGATCGGATTAACTCATTTAACCCAATTTATCTTACATTTGTACTTATTTGTTTTCCGATCGATTTTTCGCGATGAAATTGTAGAAAAGGTCCGTGAAATGATCGATCCATAGTTAGGAACGGATCGAGGAAATGATCAATCGAGAGGATTTACCGTTTAGGAGTGATCTATGGCGAGTAATTTGTAGTGCGATTTACACATTAGTGGCTATTTTTCATGGTTAGGATTTAGTAACATGGGATTAACGTTGTAGTAAAGATTATACAACTTCCTTTGGTAAAATCAGGGTTTTTTAGTATGTGGAATTTGTAAAATATTTTTACCCTTATAAAAAAAACCAGATTTTTCATGGATATAAAAACATAATTTTAGTAATCGAATATGTGTGTAATCTATGCCATTGAAATATCTTGGGCAATAAAATGATGTTTATGAGCTATGAAACTGTTTTCTAGCTGTGGTTAAAATATTTATTTTTATTTTTTTAAAATGTTAGATCTACGGTTGGGTTTGATCATTTTACGATTTGTTTTTATTGAAATTATTTATTTATTATTTTTAAAACATTTGTTTTATTTTAATATTTGATTAATTTGATTGAAAAAAAATATATGTATGGATGCTTAGATGTGATCGTCTTTAGATATTAGTTTGGATTATTATTATATATCATTGGCTTTGTTTTGATGTGATTATAAATCATCACGATTAAATTATTGAATAATTAAACCCTTTACCCAAAGAGACAAGCTTTTATTCCTACAAAATGTTTTCAAGACATCGCGTGTTGAGTAATAATCGACTTCCAAATCTGTTGAAACGTCAAATTGCGGTTACTAATACAATCCGAGCAATTTCCCCCCTACCCGGGAACCAGAACCTAGGGGTGGGCAAGTACCGGCGGACCCCAAACTATTTTCATATGGAGGCAATATATATATATATATATATATATATATATAATTTAATATGAATAAGCATATGTTATTGGGGGGTATTTATCAATATTCTTTTATAAGTTTATAAATTTTATAAAGAAATTAACATTTTTTTTATTAATTATACGAGACCCATTCTCCACTATATAGGTCTATCCATATAGATAAAAATATCCGAAAATCAAGTATTCGTCTAAATTCGATGGTCGGATACACGAAAATTAGATACCCATTATGATATGAGACCAAGATCAAATTTTAAAATATCTAAAACCTAACATTTGGATTCGGATTTGTACTTGGAATCGAATAATTAACGCGGATACTTGAATAATAAAAGGTAACTATAACATATATTAAAAAATTATAAAAATGTCTATCAATTATCTTGATATTTTTATCTATTTATATATTAAAAAACTATCGTTTTATTATTTAATCATTTAAAAAATTAAATATTTTCAATATTTTTAACAATTTTGTAAATTATTTATATATATTTTATAAATTTATAAATCTTTAACCAAAATATGATTAGAATCCGTTGGATTTAGATTCACGGATACCCGAAAATTATATCTTATGCCATACATCTCGAATACTCAAAAACTCGGATTCGAGTTCAAATTTTAAAATATATAATCCATTGAATTTAGATACCCTAAAATTCCGGCATAGACAACCCATGTCCACCCTTCCATAACCAACCAAAAGCCAAGTCGATGAACTGAAAACTTCTTCCCTATCACTAGTAGAACTTCATGAATGGGAAGTGAAGTGGGGACCCTTATGCTTATGTTCAAGAATGGCAGTGGTTTCACATTACATGACCTGTTTTCATTAAGTCATATGTCATATTTTGACGGCTCAACATATTTTCAACCCTGAAAACTCACATATGATGACGATAATGTCAGACGAAAATCAATAAAAGATCAATCCAATTCGAGTCCCCACCTCGGGTGATGAAGAAGAAAATATACAAGACAGTCTGATTCCACCTCGAGTCCCCTTCGTTTTCATGCAAAGAGGCTGATTCCAATCCGCCACCTCAAACAAACCCCACGACAAATGAGTTCAACCCTGAGCCAAACCGACCCTTTTGAGATGAAAAACAATACGAGAAAGAAAAAAAAAAGACGGGTTAGAAAATATAATTAATTCTAAATGCATGCATCTCACTAAGAAGGACCTCACTTCACTTGAGACTGTCAATCAAAATGGTCTGTTATAAAGGCCGAGCAACGATTTCTCCCTCTCTTCAACTCTCCTCCTAGCAGCTTCTCTTGCCTTTAGAGCGGCTCTCTCTTCTTCAGATACATTCTTTGGCTTCTGGTCTTGTCTCTTTCTTTTCCCGAGATCAATAGATGAAGGAGCCCCTTTCACGGGTATCGTCGGGTTTAAAGAAGCTGAGACAACATGCCCGGGTGCTAAGCCACTTTGACTTTTTGAATCATTTTGTTTCATTGTACTTGGTCCAGCTCCTGAAGTAGTTGTAGGCTTTTTAACAAGAAGTTCTTGGGTTTTTGTATTTGATGAAGCATTAACGGCAGCATATGCCTCCTCTCGGGTCACCCATTTTCCTGTTGCACTAAAGCATTAAAGAACACACCGGAAATTGCCCAGCACAGAATGTTCAAAAGCAAAATGACAATAGCTTATCCAAGAAACTCAACTTCATATACCTATTGAATCTGCATAGTAAAATCCAGAGTTGGAATCATAGTGTAGACCATTCGTCTGGTTGTAATGGTAGCCTGAAGCACTGTCAAACGTCCACTCTGTCACGGAGATTTCATTGCATCAAGCTCATAAACGTGTCAAATTACAAAGATAAGACCTCCCATAGCTCGTTGTTTGAGTTGTGGCATAAACATACAAGTCAAACATCTTGCAAGGTGCATAAAGATTTAAACGGAAAAAGAAAGCATCTAAAAATTTGGAGAAACACGTTCAAGTTTGGAAAATAAGCACCGAAGCCAGTAAGTAAATATAAAATTAGCAATCATAAAATTGAACCCTACTTGCTATATTGTGTCTTCTGTCTATTGTTGTATGGACTATCTTCAACTCAGCTTCTACCATCCAAACAACCTAAAGCTTCAAAATATCTCTACCCATTGACGCCTATAACAACTAATCAGTGTCACAGAGTTTCTCTACTCATACATGGATGAAGTATTTTCAACCATCAGTAAAGTTTTATACGTCCAAGTTTTTTGATTCACAAAAGCATCAACATCAACATCAACATCGCCTTAATCCCAAGTTTATTTGGAGTCGGCCGCGTGAATTCTTCATTTCCACTTATTTTGGTTTTGAGTTAGCGCTTTCGAAATTTGCAACAATTCCAAGTCATTCCTAATGACTCGTTTCCAATTAAGCATAGATCTACCCCTAACTTTTTCCTTCGTCACAATTCCAACATTTTGAAGGATTGAACCAAGATATTTAAAATGTGAGTTTTGATTCGCAAAAGAAACGGAAAAAAAATCCATAAAACATAGAAATTTCAGACGTTGACAAAAGAACCTCCAACTTATTAAGCATTTTGGCTGCGTCAATTAAACACCAAACTCATGGATGGTGCCATAAAAAAACATGAAAACCATAAATCGAGGTACAACTTATTTCTTAATGTCATCAAAGAAAAATAGTTGAAGATATAGACGGAAACTCTAACAGATTGTAAAAGGAACTGAGTTTATAAGCTCAGCAACTTTTTGACACAGTTTGATGAGTTGAAACAGTCATTTGTTACTAAAAGCAGGAGAATTTTTTCAGAAACAGCCACCGAAGACCCAACATTGTATCGAATCTATATCCGAACAAGGCCAATCCCTAAAAAGATACTTTTTCTTTTACTTAGGAGTAAATGACGTTTTCAAGAACTGAAGATCAAACAGAGCACAATGCTTTGAGTAGCTCGGCATGTCGGGAAAATAACCCTGTTACTAGATGCTGAACAACAAACAACCATGCTAATGGAAGCTTAAACAGAACCATAACCAGATATCACAATAATACTATAGTGGTACTGCAGATAATTACATTATGAGAAATCAACAAAACCGAGAGAAGATACTTACCCCCTTGCCCGTCATCTGGTGCACTGTTAGCTTTTGCCGCTTTCTGAAGAGTTTCTATATCTTTCTGATAGCTACGGGTTGCTTTCTGAAATAAACCGGAAACAGCAAAACAAGACTAATGACAATACTGATCAGAGACGCAGAAACACTCGGGTTATTTTCCAAATTCCTTTCCTGGGCTCCGAGATTAGTATTTCAGCACTCAAGAACTCAACGATGATCCTTACAATGACCGATGCATATACGAGGGAAGCACAAGAATCGGATAAGTGAACAAGAAGGCATCATAACATATCATCATCATCATCATCAATGAATACTTACAGCTTCAATCTGTTGAAGCATTCTTTCAGCTTCCTTAAGCTCTTTGTCCTTAGCGACGC